ATCACATCATCCTTCATTTCATCTCTTTCGAGGATTGGCGCAACTATGACCATGTTGTATTTGGCCGCCAGCTGCAAATAGTATCATTTGTGAATTCCTCTATGTCGCTTAACATGACCTCCAAAATTAGACCTAGATCTAGTCAGGAATATTAAAAGTTCGTTTGTGATACGTCTTGAATGTTACTGCTAACAAGCATGATTGTTATCTTTAATGATGAACAGTATAGTTGAGGAGGGCCAACAAGATCGATACAGAAGCAACTATCATGAAGCTGGGAGGGTTAAAGAGGTATGCCTTAATCACAGTAAAATCTTGGATAAAAATAGTTCTCAAATTAGCATGGCCTCCTAGATTCTAGTTGATAGCCAAAAAGTCAAGTGATTACCAGCGGATCAGATGACATGCCACCAAAACCTTCGCCTCCACCACTGAGTAAAGCATAAGCAGCAAAAAGAAACGGAAAGTTTCACACCCACATTAGACATGAATTTAATTGTGGGTCCATTCTCGACAGACTCAGCAAATTCAGTCCAGGGCAGTCTTTCGCGAGTGCAGAAGGCAAATGGCATCACTAAAGGAACAATTAAGTTGTGTATCACTTTACGGTTTAACAAAAGCACTTACTAAATGTTTCTTGCAAGCAAAGTATATTCGTTCCTGCTGCGGCAGCTGCGTCAATCATTCTAGCAACTTTCATATGGATCGCCTTCTTTTGCTCTTCTATCGGAGCGGTTGTTGGTAGTACGATGGAGTTCTGGATACACGCTACACGAACCTGAAATATTCGGGGAAAAATTTCAACTACTAGTCCCTTAAGCGGGAAAACTATTTCAATCATTCCTCGGTCAGCAGGCTTTGTCCTTGCTGCTCTTCTCAAACCTCACATTTGAAGGGTTTATCCAATAATGCTTCTATGGCTCAAAATATTGTTACTTTCACTTTGTAACAGAAATTAATGACCCCAAGACAGTATTTATCATCATAGGTGCGCTATAACTTATTGTTCGTGCAGATACCACATATCAAAGCTAGTTTTTGAGAAAGGGTTTGCAATATAATGCCCATGAGACTTACAACATTTCATTTTCTATATTTGCTTGAACAAGCAAAAGCTTTGGAAGATTTCATTTTAAACTATAAACTATTACA